CTTAAACTGCCTGTGTTCTGTACTGTACTCCAAGAAAAGGATTTTACAGGTAAGTCAAAAATCCAACTTTTTTTTACATTTCAGTACACTTTACTATGTAAGTGTGAAGAAAAATATTTATACACAACATTTGTTTGCTTTACCTTGACCTTACAAGACATATTTTGTTTTGTAAATACATACATTTCCTTTATAATATATATTATAAATAAAAGTATATAAGTATATATAATATATACAAGAGCTCTGTCTATAGCCATAACATCTTGAGTTTTTATAAATACGCAGGCATTACTATACTAATGAAATAAAGCAATTACTGGTAATCCATTCCTGTCAATCAATGCATCAGTAATGATAGTAGTTCATTTATTAGATGTGCTAGCAGGCTATAAAAACACTCCGGACATCTTACAGAATGTAGTATTAGTCTGAGAGATGTGAAAAACAATATTGTGCCGAGCTAATAATCATACACATCTAATAAATTGAAACATATATAAATGAGTCACATATATGAGCCTTCAAACAAATGAGGCATAGAAAATATCTACACACAGACAAAACAGCAATATAGACAAAAAAAGTCCTAGGAAAAAACAAAAGCAAACAATGGTGATTGTGCAGAAAAATTCCTCAGATGATTTGCAGCCAATCATCGCCAGACCCCTGATGAAGTCACGTGTTTTGACTTAACGTGCGTAGGGCAGAGCTTCTGATGTCACTGCACTGAGCTGAGCCGGACGAACAGGTTTTTTTATCGCTTTGCTGCCATTTGCCCTGCTGGTCTGATCCAGCAATACCCAATGCCTGTACTGTTTACACCATTGTGAGTACGCATTTTTTATTTAATAAATTGCATTTTATTGGACGTTACGCACTATGTCCTTGTCCTTTTTCTCTTTCCACCTGGATTTATACTGGTACCTGTGATCTGAGGAGACCTTATCGCCTTTTCTGTGCATGGGCTTCCCTCCCCCATTAAGAAGGGAAAAAGCGCATTTGACCCAGCTCTGTGGGTCTACCTCCCCAGGTGAGCACTCACTTGTTGTCATCACTCACTGGGTGGAGGTGAAGGTCTGCCTGTATTGTGTGATTATCCCTACCTGAGAGTTATATGCAGATTGGCTGCAAATCATCTGAGGAATTTTTTTGCACAATCACCATTGTTTGCTTTTGTTTTTTCCTTGAGACTTTTTTTGTCTATATTGCTTTTTTGTCTGTGTGTAGATATTTTCTATGCCTCATTTGTTTGAAGGCTCATATATGTGACTCACTTGTATATGTTTCAATTTATTAGATATGTATGATTATTAACTCAGCACAATATTGTTTTTCACATTTTTCAGATATTTAGTTATATCCTTAGCGCTTGGTAGCTCTTATTTCCACATTACACTTACTGGCGCTGATCACCTTATTGTTTATTTTTAGTCTGAGAGATGTATTACCTTATAGGTAATTTTCTATAATATGTTATATGCTTAAGCTAATGTTTTAAAAAGTACTCTGGTTTAAAAACACATTTCTTTAGTCCCTATTTGCTGTTTGTATCTTGTAACTTAACCTATCAACTCTGCCTCAGTTAAATTAGTTGACCATTCAGAATAGCTTTTGTTTAACTTGCTTCAGCATGAATTGGCCAAAGTACGATCTATTAGTGACCTTGTTGCCTCGACAGACGTTGATCATTAGATCGACTTTTGCCGAAGGAACATGCTGGAAAATCGTTGGCTGAACGGTGCTTGCAGCCAATCACCTGCAAGCATCGTTCAGGTATTCTGACGGCAGCTGGCGCTGACTGAATACAATGTACAGTCTGAGTTTGGTCATTCCTGTTTAGCCCTGCAATATCATTACAGCCAATGAAGCAAAGATATCAATGATATATAAATAGTTTAATGTCCATAGTCTGGGCACAGGTGTATTTTAATTAACCATTGTTCCTGCAGCCGGTGTTTCATACACAATGGCCTGCATTCACCTGATGTTTGGTGCTGAAACACTCTTTGAGCAGAATGGGGAAGGGATATGTATTGCACAGAATAAACAGGCTGTCTTCTGTCAGCTTTCTAAAAGCAGAAAACACATCAAAGATTATGCACATCCTTTTACAAATCAGAGAAACCTGATTTGCATTTGATAGGTGCTTAACTACTTGCTGCGGGTTGCTGTACATATACAGCCGGCCACAGAAGTGGTTACACCAAGAATACAGCTGCTGCTGCTGCAGCCGTGTTCTTGGTATAATTTTCAACAGCCGGCGATGGCTGTTAAAGATAAAGCGATCCAGCGTCCGTACAGCTGCCGGATTGTTTGTACCTATCGGTGGAATGTGCTCCCCCCACCCCTCTCCGCCAGCTTCCCCAGGCTCCGCTGTCCCCCATGCAGGACCGGCACGGCAGGTCTCCACCGCAACGATCGGTGAGAGATCAGCAGGCTGCCAGCCGCTGATCTCTCCTCGGATCACTGGACCCGGAAGTGATATGTATTACATCACTGCCAGTGTCACTGTTTACATTCTCCGGCGCTTAGAGCCAGGAGAAGCAGATCTCTGATTCTTCAGCTTCTTTGGGGTCCCTAGGTGACATTAGGGGTCTGAAAACACCCTTCATGTCTCCATAAAGAGGACCTGTCACACTCTATTTGCTATTATATAGGGTGCTTCTTAGCCCCCTATGTGATAGCAATAAAGTTAGTGTAAAAAAGAAAAAGTTTAAAAAAAATTAAAGTAACATGTAAAAAAAATGTTGTAAAGTCCCCCACCCCCTATGTGCACGCACATACATACACAAACACGCGTCAGTGCGCCTACGTGCAAAAGGAGGTTACATATCGCCACAAATTTCAGAGTGAGAGCAATAATTCTAGAGCCATCAATCACTGTTATCACTAAACTGATGAGCAGTAAAAGATTTGAAGAGTTCCATATGGGAAATTTGGGGTATTGTAGTTTTTTGCGACTTCACAGGCGAACGCAATTTTAAGGCTTGACATGTTTGGTATCTATTTACCTGACATGACCCCGTCTTTCATATTTTACCAAAAAATTGGGTATTATATTCTGTTTCTATGTATAAAATTTTATTTTAGTGTATTTTATCCTAAAACATTTGTGCAAATACCTTGGGACATAAAAAATTGCAACTAGCATTTTTTTATTTTACAGGGCCTCTGCTTTCAGAAAATGTATCATTGTTTGGGGGTTTGAAGCTGTTTTCTAGACAAAAAAATTCTGATTTTATCATGTGTGTGCAAATAGTAAGAAATTGCTCGGGACAGCAAGTAGTTAAGTCCCTTCATCAATAATTCCTCCTTAATGTATTTAATTAATTCTGTTAGTTGTTTATATATACATAATATATGTAGTTGTGAGTGACAATAATGCATACAAATGAAGTTATATCCGTTGTGATGCCAGTAGCAGCCAATCATATGTGTGTTTTTTTTTCTAATCTGTACCAGAAGTATAACCGCTAAAATCTGACTAATTTAATAGTCTTTTTCTCCTTTACTGTTTCCATACATGGGATCTGGTGAATATTAGTACGCAATTAAGCCACTAGCTTTCCATGGATCTGTCCGCATTAGACTTTTGCTATTTTGCCGTTATTGTTATTGTTATTAATGCCTTACACTGATGTTTGGGGATGGTCTCCAAAGTAGTCAGAAAAATTCTGTCAAAATGAATATGATTTAACTTTTTTTAAAACAAATCTAAACTCTTCACACTTACGCTTTTATAGTTTTATAGTTCTTCTCACATACGTATGTGTTACATAGTTTGTTACGTAGTAGAACAAAAACAGTGTTTTCTTTTGCTATATGTGTTGTTAACAAGATTAACATTTAACTATAACTATGCAATTATTGTAAACGTGGTTTGTCTACCACTATTTAAGTTCAAAATAAACATGGTATGTTAAATCTGTGTGCTATTTTTTAAACCACAAACAATATGTTGAAATATTTACTGAAGGATTAATAAAAAAATGACTGACAGATGCAGGTAGGTGGAACCACTTACTGGCTTCTCCTAAGAATTTCAACTACAGGATCTGTTTACCTAGGTTCCTAGCTATGCTTATCTACTTCAGCCATTATAAAGACCTATTGTCCCAGTAAAAGTTTCTACTGCATATGGGAAGACAGTGGGAAAGGTTAGAATCCTTCTGCTGCATCATATGGGAAGACAGTGGGAAAGGTTAGACTCCTCCTGCTGCATCATATGGGAAGACAGTGGGAAAGGTTAGAATCCTCCTGCTGCATCATATGGGAAGACAGTGGGAAATGTTCGACTCCTGATGCATCATATGGGAAGAGAGTGGGAAAGGTTAGACCCTTCCTGCTGCATCATATGGGAAGAGAGTGGGAAAGGTTAGATTCCTTCTGCTGCATCATATGGGAAGGCAAGTGGGAAAGGTTAGGTTCCTTCTGCTGGATTATATGGGAAGAGAGTGGGAAAGGTTAGAATCCTCCTGCTGCATCATGTGGGAAAGGTTCGACTCCTCCTGCTGCATCATATGGGAAGACAGTGGGAAAGGTTAGACTCCTCCTGCTGCATCATATGGGAAGACAGTGAGAAAGGTTAGACTCCTCCTGCTGCATCATATGGGAAGACCGTGGGAAAGGTTAGACTCCTCCTGCTGCATCATATGGTAAGACAGTGGGAAAGGTTAGAATCCTCCTGCTGCATCATGTCGGAAAGGTTCGACTCCTCCTGCTGCATCATATGGGAAGACAGTGGGAAAGGTTAGGTTCCACCTGCTGCATCATATGGGAAGACAGTGGGAAAGGTTCGACTCCTCCTGCTGCATCATATGGGAAGACAGTGGGAAAGGTTAGGTTCCTCCTGTATGCTGTCTGGAGAAGGCATCCCTCAAACCTGAGACAGCTGAAGCAGTTTGCTTAAGAAGAGTTGGCCAAACAACCTGTTGCCAGATGCAGAGGTCTCATTAAGCGCTACAGAGAATGCTTGTTTGCAGTGATTGCCTCTAAAGGTTGTGTAACAAAGTATTAAGTTAAGGTTCCTATAATTTTTGTCCATGCCATTTATCTACGGAGACAAACTATTGTACAATGTTGTATATTGCTTGAGAAGTCATGTAGAGAGTCTAATGTTTCCTGTCATTTTGGGAAGCCCTGCAGTGATAAAAATCAGTAATTGTATTGACTGACTGCACAACAAAAACTTATGTCATGGCTATAAATATATATATGAGAAGCTCATTGGGTTACATTATACACTTTAACTGTCCCCATTAACATCAAGAATTCAAAACTATACATAAAAGTAATATATCTAAAACATTAACACAATTAGATTTTTTTCAAACATTAAAAGTAATCTCTGTTGGAAATACAACAGCATATACTGATATACTTATGTAATTTGTCTTATGAGCTGTAGTGCTTCATCTAAACTCATAACCAACAACTTCTACCGAGAGAATTATGTAAGCTGCCATTGCTCATCTCACCTTCTGAAATACAATTCCCTTGCTCCCTTGCTGATCCTGTGGTTTGAATGTTTTGAGTGATTGACCAAGAGTATGTAAGTGCTCTAACCAGAGCGGCTCATATTCTTTAAACTATAGAAAGACAGTTTGCTACAACATGGTATAGTTTGTAAAACTTCTATACATGCCACTTTGTACTTTAAAGTTGCAAATTAAAGGAGAACTATGGGGTTAAGGCTTTTCCCCATAGTTCTCCTTAGGGTAACGGGAGGACACAAACTAGCGTCCTCCCGTCACCCTAGGCTCAGTATACCGCGAGCTGCTGCTCCCGGTATACTGAGACGACACAGCTGAAGCCGATCCCGACAATTGTGCCGGGATTCACCCAGCTGCGTGACTGACAGCTGGCTCTGCCTATCTAGAGGCAGAGCTAGCTGTACCCGCCCCTCCCCCGTCCGTTCCGCCAGTCAGCGCTGGCGGATCGGAGCGGGGAATCCAGCCCCTCCCCTGTCACAGCAGAGAGCTGTGACAGGATCGAGAGGTGAGCGAACGCCGGTATGTGTTCGCTCACCTCCCGATCTACTGAGCCGACCTGTGACAGTCTCATTGTCACAGGTCGGCTAGAACTATGAGGTGAGTGAAAAGCACTCACCTCAAGTTCTCCTTTTAAATAACTTTTCTACTGTAGTCTTCAGCCAGCTATGATTTCTAACTGCAAAAAATTTAAATGTTGCTTCTTATCAACAAAAGTAGAATTACACTCTTGAACTTTAGGGTCTGTGTCGATGAGCAAATACAGCTTTCTTCTATGTCCATGCTGCCTGGGCAAAGAAGCAGCATCACTTTACATGATATAAATATTAAAATATATAATAAAAGCCTATGACCTCTGAGATGTGCAGCAAGCAGAGATCAAGCCAAGAGGTCCTGCTGTTATGCGTGCACAGCAGCGGAAAAAGCTACAGGGGAGAATTTACAGTACTAGGACTTATGAGGGCTGGAGCAGACAGTATTTGGAGCAGCTGGGCATGGCAATCAATCAGTTACAGGGTTGTTCACAAAAGGGTGAAGAGTTTGGAGAAGGCAGGAGAAGGGAACAATCTAGGACAACATAGCTGATTTGGAAACATTCTTAAATTCAGCTCACTTTCCAGTTCAGCTATGTTGTCTTAGATTGCTCACTTCTCCTGCCTTCTCCAAACCCTTCACCCTTTTGTGACTAACCCTGTTACTTTAAAGGAGAACTATGGGGTCAGTGTTTTTCCCCATAGTTCTCCTTAGGGTAACAGGAGGACACAAACTAGCGTCCTCCCGTTACCCTAAGCTCAGTATACCGCGAGCTACAGCTCGCGGTATACTGAGACGCTGCAGCCGGAGCGGATCCCGACGTAGATGACGGGATCCGCCCAGCTGCGTGAGTGACAGCTGGCTCTGCCTATCTAGAGGCAGAACCAGCTGTACCTGCCCCGTCCGTTCCGCCAGTCAGCGCTGGCAGATCGGGGAGGGAGAGGGGAATCCAGCCCCTCCCCATCACGGCAGAGAGCCGTGACAGGATCGGAAGGTGAGCGAACTCTGGTATGTGTTCCCTCACCTCCCGATCTACTGAGCCGACCTGTGACAGTCTCATTGTCACAGGTCGGCTAGAACTATGAGGTGAGTGGAAATCACTCCTCTCATAGTTCTCCTTTAAGGCAAAAATAAAGATGTGTACAACATTTTGCTGTAGTAAGTTAACAGTCCCTTGAAGGACATTCTTCTAGCTGCCTCGCCATCCGCAAAGCAAGCAGCATAACCAAAAAGCATGCCTTCAAATCCTTAGAACAAATAATAGGTGTAAAATCAATAGCCATAGTCACCAACATGAAGGTCACCACAAAATGTAATAGTGGCTCATGGAGAGAAACTATGAGGATGCTGTTGGTTTAACCTCCCTGGCGGTTTGATTATTTTTTTTCCCTTTTTTTGTTCTATTTTATTCAGTTCTTTTTTCGTTATTTTTTTTTCAATTCCCGCCGGTTTCGCCCCCTTGCGACGCAGACGTTTGCAAGGGACGGAACCCGGAAGACAGATGCCGGCTTCGGCCGGAGGACACAGCGTGGCTCGAGGGGCAAGATAAGAGACGCTACGCTGTAATCCCGAGTGTGGCTCGGGGGTACCGCTTATTGTACTGAAAATTAACCCCGAGCCACACTCGGGAATACCGCCAGGAAGGTTAGGTAGTACATTGTTGATGTTGATACCATATATCATTACTGTGATACTCCATTGCATCTTGAAACTCTAACGAGCACTGTTAAATCTTTGTATGGTTCATAGCTTAAAGCTGGCCATACACTGTCCAAGTTTTAGCCAGTTCTTGATGAACTGGATGAAATACGCACAGTGGTGCTCCCATTAGCACCCTTCCATCCGACATCCTTTGATCATAAAATCGAGGGAGCTGGAAATAAAATTTTGGGGGCAAACAGTAATGGTAGCCAATTAGCTGACTTGCTATTGTGGCAGTGTCACACCCACCACTGTCAGAATACAATGGACACAGCAGGAGATCCGTCCATCAAAGCTGTTTAGTGTGGATGGATGAATCTGTTATTTTTATTGTTCGGGTTTGAGGCCGTGTGTAGTACAAAATAAACACATAACTTTTCTTTCTGGTAGCAAGGTGTACTTACAAGATGTAAGTGATGTGAACAGACTCTGTAATGGTGAATCCATAATGCTGCCGTTATCACAGCAATGTTTAAAACCCACAGGATTGCTTTAATGTTTGTGTTTGTCTGAGGAGAGGCTGTTTTTAAGATGCCCGTGGTTTCACCTACATAGCTGCTCTCCTGGTAAGAGAGAGGGTTCTGCTTTTGCTTGCTTCTGGATGCCACCATTTTGTTTGTGGCATATGCTGTGCCCAGCAGACATTGTACATTCATTCCATTCTTGGTGCTGCGTAATCCTGCAAGCATGCTCCCTGCACACTAGCGTCAGTCACCATGGTGACAAGTGACTGAAAAACTGTAAACAAAGCAGCCGCATCTGCTTACTGTGAAGTAGGGTTGTACAGATACCAAGTACAGTACTCGGTACAAGTACGAGTACATGTACCGATACTTTTGAGCTCCAAGGCTACATTAGAGAAAAATTCAAAAGTTAGGAGGCAGCTGTCATTTGTAAGGAGCAAACGGAGCTCCTGGGATTTGTACATCTCTGTTTTAATGTACGATTTTGTTTATATAAATATAAATAAAGGGATGCACAGATACCAGTTTTGCGAGTACGAGTACTGGTACTTGCCGGGTACTTACAAGTACGAGTACTTATACATTTTAGTTTATTGTCATGTGACAGTTTTTCTAAAACAATACAGACTAATGATTTCAGGATAGTGGGGGAGCACCAGAGCCAGGTCCCAGCTGCAACCGCTGCAACCCTGGTAGTTCTCGTGAAAATGCCAAGTATCTGCACTGGTACTCAAAAAGTATCTGTGCATCCCTACTGTGAAGGTAACAGATGGCAAATTAGCTGGGAGACAGAGCTGATGCTCTTTCTGCGCACTCTCATACTGTGCCTCCGTGTTGAGATCTCACCAGGCCAGGAGATTCTGGAGAGAGCAGTGAGGTGCAGCAGGTAGGGGGAGCAGAAACAGTGGAAAAACAAGTCTGATCCATGGAGACTGCACCTCACAACTTATAGGACTTAGCCCTCGTTCACACCTGAACGTTTTGTAGCACGTTCTACGCTCGACGAACGCTCTACAAAATGCTCAAACATCTAAATCCCATTGAATTCAATGGGTCTGGTTCACACCTTGGCGTATCGAATCTACTACTGACAGCTTGGTGCCAGATGCCACAGCATACCTCCAGAGGTCTAGTGGGGTTCATGTCTCGACGGGTCAAGGCTGTTTTGGCGGCAAAAGGGGGACCTACTCAATATTAGGCAGGTGGTCATAATGTTATGGCTGATTGGTATATATATATAAACTTCATATAACCAATACAAAAGGCCAGTATAGGACACTACAAAATTCAATGCAATAATTCACTGGTCCAATGGGGCCAGCCAATATTTAAAAAAACAAGTACAGCAGATAATGTGGGACAAAGTGGCAAGCTACTGATGAAGTGAATTCATAATTCCAGATGTCACAGCCAGGGGCGTATCTGCCGCGAGGCAAACAAGGCGTTTGCTTCAGTCCAGGGGGGGGGGCGGCGTTGCTGCATTGCCTAGGGCAGCACCAATGTTAAATACACCGCTGGTCACAGCAGTGGACTAGAACTAATCACTCTCCTTGGTGGTTGGACTAGCATAGACCAAACTGCATGGGCATTTACGAAGGTAAATGACACTGGCTGTAGTACAGTTTAGAAATGGGAAACTTTTGCCTGCTACTTGGGTGGATACAGAACTGGTTTTTAATAGCAAAGTTACACTTTGAACAGTGCCCACAGGGGTGACCTGAGTTAGATCCAGAATTATAGAATCACTTCATCACCACCTTGTTAAGGTGAACCATTACAACACATTACAAGTTCACTTTTCAAGTTCATTGAAAAAGTATGT